GTTTCTGCCAAAGAAATTGATAGGATTGTGAAGTTCTGTGAACATTTGAGCAATGGTTTGGATGAAGATGATTATGATGATGCAAAAGACTATGGATTTAAACTTAATTTCAAGGAAATCAACGCTGATTTTTGCTATGGGCCCAACGAGGTATCACCGGATAGGAGAAAAACGCTTTTAAGAGAAGTTCTTCCTGCTGCTCTCAAACTACACAGTGAACGTCTCAGTGTTGAGCAGGTAGAGAAGTTGGACTTGTCTTTTGAGATTAAGGATTCGTATCCATTTTTACCCAAGTGTACAGATGTCTCAATTCCCAAAGAGCATCAACAAGGTATAACCAAAGCTGATTTTATGCTGTATGTGGGTGTTACAGATGAGCATCAACACCCAAAGATTTGTTCTAGAAACACAAAGGGTCGTCCTACATCTGCTTTGATTAAATTTGTTCCTGAGGAAATTGCTGCAACGAGGCATTACATTCGCTTAACTGCACATGAGGTTGCACATGCTCTTGGATTTGAAATTGAAACGATGAAGGAGCATGTAAAGGAAGGAGAAGAAACGACGGGGAAAAAGAAAGTCCGTTTGGTGACATACCCTACTGTGATTAAGGAAGTGAATAAACACTATGGTTGCCCTAATGTTGAGGGTGATAATAAAATAAAGGGCATAGCTTTGGAGAATGATGCAACTGATGGGGCACCTCTGCACTGGGAACGTCGTATTGCGAAGGATGAGTTGATGAGTACATACAGCGGCAGCAGCAATGGAATGTTCTACACTGCACTAACACTTGCTGTATTTGATTCTATGCCATTCTACAAGGCCGAATTCAAAATGGCGGAATCGATGAATTGGGGTAAGAATGCTGGTTGTGAGTTTCTGAAGGATAAAGAGAAATACAAAGAAACAAAATCCGGTAAGTACTCCGAAATGTTCTGCGATGAAGTCAAGCCTACTCTGCAATGCACTTCTGATCGTTTTGCACTTGGAATGTGCACGAAGAAGCAGCCTGACGTTAAGATACCTGATGAGTATGATACGTATTTTCCCTCATTTCTCTATGACCCTCTTGATGACCTGATGGATGGTTATACCATTATTAAACCGATTCCTAAGACAAATTGTGAGGAGGATAAGTTCAACCTGATGCCTGGCAGTATTCTGAGCAATATCTCTCGATGTCTGAAGGGTGAGAATCTGCAACTGAAAACACCAAACGAAAATAATCTTACTGTTGGTGACATTTGTGCGAATGTGAAGTGTGACAAAAAGAACAACAAGGTATCGGTACAGTACAGTGGTTCCGACAAATGGCATGTATGCGAAGATGGGAAAATTGAAGTCACGGATGGTCAGGAGTTCCAAAGTGGAAGTATCTTGTGTCCCAAATACTCAGAGGTGTGCGATGACTTTTCTGAAGTTAAGGATATTAACTT